ATAATAATAATAATAATAATAATAATAATAATAATAATAATAATAATAATAATAATAATAATAATAATAATAATGTTTTTAAGAACGTTTATAATCAATTATTCCTATTAAAACAAACAAACAAATTCGATAATAATTCCGATTAATTATTCCATTTATTAGAATTGGATTGAATGTTTGCTGCCGGTTACACGACAAACAATTAAGGTTGTGACAATTAATATTTTTTTATCTCTATTGATTTCGTTCGTTCATTCATTCATTCATTCATTCATTCATTCATTTATTTATTTATTCATTTATTCATTTATTCATCCATTGATTGATTCATTTATTAATTGACTTCTTTTTGTCTTTCATTCATTCTTTCGATTTGTGTCAAAGTTCAATCAAACACACATATTGTAAGAAAGAAATAAGAAGTTATAAAGAGAACAAAGAGCGAATTTGAAACATATTGCACAAACAACTAAACAATGATGACATTATTCCGTTACAATACTTCCATAAAAGTGATAATTTACCATTTTATGGATGATCTACATAATAATTGGTCAGATGTTTGATCAGCAGAGAATTAACAAACAGAGATGTAGTAGGTATGTAGGTTAAATAAAGAAATATTAGGCATATTGAATAATAATTAGGAATAGGAATATTAAAAACCGGGAATTATTTACATTAAGAAATATTAAAACTGGGAATTAGAATACTGACGTTAAATCGGGATACTGTATATATATTAAAATATCTATATTTATAAAAAAACCCGGGAAAATTTTTTTTTAAAGTTTCGGAAAATTTTTAAGATCTTATATGTATTTTATTTTAGTTATAATAAAATTTTTTATTATTATTATCATATACTTTACATTGCATAATATAATATATAGTCAATATATATTTTATATATTTTATATTAAATTAAATAAATATTAGTACAATTACAATCTATGATGTTATATGCTTAAGATGTTATGAAGTCTATATATGCCATTTCTATAATATGCCAATCTATTATTCTATTATTAAAATTATATTCTATTTCTAATATAAAACAAAATATACAAAAAAAAAATTAATCGAAATTTTTTACGTGTTTGTGTTTGCGTTTTCGTGTGTGTGTTGTTGATTTTGCCAAAAATCTTTTTTTTCCGTCACGGAATATTTACGATATGTATATATATATATATAAATGTACGAATTTATATATAATATATACACGTATTAATATGGAAATAATTATAAATCGAAAATAAATAAATATATAGAGATTTTATAGTTTTCAAACGATACAAAAAAAAAAAAAAAGTCGACAAGTCGACGACGACAACCATTTTTTTCAATTTGTGTGTGTACTTTTGATGAAACTCCTTTTTTTTTAGAATAATATAAAACTATATAACATACATATATATAATGATTATATACACACACGTATATAATTTTATTTATTTAGTTGTCAAATTGATTTATTTACAATTTTTTTTTTTTCACTTAAATAAAAAAAAAAATTTAAAATCATAACAAAAACACTTTATGCGAGAGAAAATATCAAAAGTACGATGATAAAACAACCGATTGAAAAAAAATGGTGGTCGACATGAAAAAAATTTACAATATAATGTTTGCCGTATGTGTTTGTGTATATGTGAATATATAAAATAAATGTGGTTTGTATTTTGTTTGTTTATGTAAAAAAAAAATTAAAAAAATGATAAATGAATCAATGAATTTAATGAATTTAAATGAATTGGTGGATGAATGAATGGATGAATGAAATAATCTTATTGTTGTTTTCATGATGGTTATGTAATTGTTTATAATTGGCAACCGTCGCATGTAAATTCGGATGAATTGATCGAATCCGGAGACCAATTATAAAGTGGCTCGAAGCGGTTATTGCAATCACCGCTATTGCCATTGTTGTCATTACAAACAACGATATCGTTGCTGAAGATGGCATAATTGTTGTTGTTGTTAGTGCTATTAACCATAAAACTTTGTTGTGGTGGAGTGTGGATTGGTGTTGAAGTAGGGGTTGAGATAGGACTAACATTGCTGATGTTTCCGGCATCAATATTATTATTATTCACGCTGGGATGAATATTTGCGCTCAATTGTATTAATGATTCCAAGTTCATTTCGGAATAGTCATTATTATAACAATAATTGTTGTTGTTGTTGTTGTTGTTGTTGTTACTGTATTGTGAATTAAATGCTGGCGATGAAATTGTTTGACTTATGTTTGATAATAAATTTTCTAGAGTACTGATGCGTTCTCTCAACACTTCGATGATGTTTTCGCTTCTTTCACAATTTTCGCAAGTGTAACAAAGGTTGGTGTTGGGGTTGTTGAGATTTTTGTTAAGATTATTGGGGATAATTGTGTTGTCGTTGATGTCGTTGTTGTTGTTGATTCCGAGGTTATTAATATTTTGGTTATTTTGATTATTATTAATATTTTGGGTATTATTGCTTCTGTTGTGGTTGTTGTTGTAATTTTTGACAGCATTGGTCAAGGAAGAGGCAGAAGTTGTTGATTTTTTCTTGTTTTTTTGGCTGTTGGTTGTTTTTGCTCGTGCTATGACCATGAAATGAGTCCTGCCGGTAACATCAATGGTGTCGGGGGTCTTCAGAGCCTTCCTGCCTCTTTTAGAGCCACCAGTTACCGACTTTGTTGTGGTTTTGACAATTTCTTTTTTACGAATTTGAGTTAATTTTTCCATTTTTTTAAGTTGATTATAATTTGTATTACAAAAAAAATAAATTTTGCTTGCTCAGATATAAAATTGTGGAGGTATCTTTTCAAAAATATAACAGATTTTTATGCTCTGCAGTAAAAGTTGAGTTTTATCCTTGAAGATTAATTTTTCAAAAAAAAAAGTATTTTGTTTAAAAGGTTTAAGAGAAAAAAATAAATAATTGATAAATATTTAAATTTTGGTTTATTTATTTATTTTAGAAGAAGAAATTCCTATCGATATTTATATACTTTTTCACATTTAATAATTTATATTATATTATTGTAAAATAAAATAATATACTGTGTGACATAGCTTTTTATTTCAATTTTTTTACTGTATATTATTAAAAAAAAAATATAGTAATCAATTAAAACAATTAAATAAAAAAAAACAAATAAAAAAAATCAGGTTAATAAAATGAAATTTAAAATTGGTAAATATATTTTATTTATTATTTATTATAGAAATATACGATATTTTATCGATATAGTAGTTATCATATTATTTATTGTTGGATTGTGAGCTGTTAGTTAAAGAATATGTGGGATAATTAAAATATTCCTATATTTTAGTAATCACAAAAAAAAATTTAATTCCTTCTTGTCGCGCACATATAAAAATTAAAACAGATCTTCACTAGTAATAATATTCACCCCATTCCCGCCTCCCCACCCCCTCTAATTATCATTCAGATTAATCGATTTCAATATTTTAATTGTTAATTCCATACTCGCCATGCACAACACAAATTTGACGTGCGTTCCAAAATAATGTCATTTGTGTATATGTGAGTGAGTGTGTGTGTGTATATATATATATATGTATGTATGTATGTAGTGGCTTTACTATTTGTAAGGCGTATGGGTAGTGTAGTTATCTATACCTTGGGTATTACAAATTAGAAAAAGTAAGCAAACGTTACATACTGTTATTTAGATTTTTTCCAGATCATTTTATCAACACATTATTTATTATTAACATAAGAAGAAATTCAATTATATATATTTGGAAAGAATCACATTTTTCGAAATTTTAAAAAACATTTATTATTTTTTTTTCACATATTTAAATTAACATATCTAATGTTTATTATGACAAAAAAAAATATTCCGGCAACCGATCATAATGAAAAACAATGAGAATTCCATTTCTTTTGCATCTTGTTGTTTGTTATACCTGGGTCACATGCTTCTCAAAAATTGCGAAAATTACGATGTTTGATCAAATGTAGTAATGATCTGCGTCATATGATTGAAACGTGATAGGGTCACATTATTCTACAAATTCTTTCGTTTATCTGAAAAATGACACGTGGGGCACTGGTTCCAGGACGTGAGTCTGTGTGAGACGTGCAGTTGACCGAAATGAAGTACCAAACTTTATATTGATTTTGGAATTAAAGAATAGACAAAAAATAAACATGCACATATGATCAATTAACCATTAATAATTTTCCTTTCTCTATCCATCTCTATCTGTTAACTATATTTATATACTATTAATCCCCAGCTGTCCCAGAGTAAGTATTGATTTAATGATTGATTGCTTTATTGTACAAGCTAACCGATATTGTCGAATTGTTTTCGCCGATATTGCCGAAATCAATTTTATCCCTTCGTCCCACTATTCTGTTCCCTCATTCATTCATCTATTCACACATTCACCCGTGCACTCCCTCATTTGTTGTTATTCATTCTTCCAGATTAATTGGTCCCATCATCGTCACTTTTTCACATGAACACCTCCATTATTCTTTAATAATTAATTTAAAATATTCCGGTTCTATATATTCTCTAAATCAATTCAACAACCGAGTCAAATGAAATGGTTAATTGGTTTGTTAGGTTTTTTTTTTTTTTTGGACTAACCAATTCATACTTTTTGAATATCTGATTCATTTACCCATAAAGCAGTGCGTAAATGCGCCAATCAATCCATTAATTCAGCAGACCAATCGATCAAAATAATCAAAAATAATTAATCAAGTAATGTGGAGCTCATTTGTCAATCACACATCGTAATGAAACAGTCTAGGCGTCTTATACAATGAAGCTTATTCATTTTCATCGTTTGAAAATTCATTTATCCATTAAAAAACGGTACACCTAACACGACATAACTATTTTTGACCTCGGGTAAAATAATATTAAAACGCAGCATCACTTTTATTCCGATTTTGTCGTAACACTAATTAATTTCGAACCAATCGTATGGAAAACTAAAACCAAGACAATTAATAATAATTCCTTTTTTCTTTTTGAATATGGATTATTAAAAAATTTTAATACAATAGTTTTGGTAAAAGAAATATATCTTATTCAAAACCATAAATACGTGTCAACATTAATTATTATTTAAGAAAACAATTAATTCACTTTAGGGGTTATACATATATCTTTACAAGTTGCACATATTACATCACAATTGGTAAAAATGTGTGTGACAACGATGAGGATTCCCATTGAGATGTTCAAATAATAAGAATTTTATTAATGATAATTTTATTAATTAATAATAAATTAGTTCTATTAGTAATTTTATTAATAGTAACATTTTTAGTAATAATTAATAATTTTTATTAGTCAGTAATTTATGTTTGCAAATTAAGAAAAGATATTCAATATATATATATATATATATGCACATATGTGATGATATGCTAATATATGCTAATATATGCTCTTGATTTTTTTTTTCTTTTTTCTTTCTCCCTCTTGCTTGCTTGTTAACAATTTTCAATATGCTAAGAAGTATTAATAAAAATTGTACATATTAATTATATATATATTTATTATAATTAAAAAATTTATTTATATAAAAAAATATAAAAAAATGATATTTATATTTATTAATCACGCAAAATTTTCTATATGCACATTCATTTACATTTGATGAATAAAGAAATAGATATATATTTCCAATTGATCCATAAAAAGTTGATTTTCTAATAACGATAACACTGATAATAAAATAATAAAATAAAATGTCAGCTTTCTTTACCAATACGATCAATAGGCACAAATAAGGTTGTATAAGACGAAAAAATCAACCCGATTTTTTCTCTTCTTTAATGTCGCAGCAAGCATATCAGATAACAAAGTAATGCACGAACCTATTTTCAAGTTAACAATGATGACATGTTAACTAAATATATACCATTTTAACAAACAGTCTAGAATTATAAAGCTGACAAACTACCAAATAAGTTATTCAATAAACACTTTTCCAAATTTTTTCATTAAATAAACACCATTAAATAGTCTATCACTCAAAAAATCAATTTTTGGGGATCTAATGAAAAAACCTTATCCTTTAAAAGATAAATATTGTCTGAATAATATCTATCCATCTAAATTGTATATAATCGTTCAATCTATAAGGAATCTATTTTCAAAAAAATAACGTACACATAAAGTTTTCACTATTCATCTCCTGCACAAAATTTATCAACCATCTAAATCGTATCGTCACCTGAATTATCACCTGAATCGTCACCAGAAGCATCACCTTAATCTCTCACTTTCATTAAAATGGTAATATATAATAATAATAATAATAATAATAATAATAATAATAATAATAATAGGATTATGATGATGGTGGCAAAGATTAATTGGTAGTAATGTGAATGTCATCATAATAAAACAAAGAAAGAAAAGATTTGTTATCTGAAATTCTTCGTAAGAGGCAGTTCATTGATCTTAATATTATTGTTAGTAACTATTACTACTCACGGTAGGTATATTTGTCTATTTCATAATGGTAATCAATTCCTTATACAGTAAAGATTCTTAATACAAGTGCGATGATGAATTATATTATTATTGAGTAACGAATGAATAATAATATATAGAGAGTGAATGTGTGAATGTGTGAATGTTTGATTGAGCAATGGATCGATTATTTGAGTAATTGGTGGTTTGATTGATTGATTAATTGTTATTGTTATTGTTTATTTTTTGTTGTTTTACATATTAGAAAGAATAATAATGATGAGGTTTGCTATTATTACATAATTCAACTCTTACCGATGTTTCATCTAACATAATTACCAATTATCTAATATTATTTTCATCACAATTTCTAATAATAATAATAAATTACTAATTTATTATTTTTAATCGGTCGGTCTCTCTCCTTATTATTATTTCGTTTCAAAAATCCGATTACGTTAACACATTTATTTGTTTATTTATTATTTATATCAAGGAAAAAAAAAGTTTAGTTGTAAAAAAAACATCGCACAAACTTGAAAAACTCATTATAATTGATTAGCCAACCAATTTATTTTTTATTCTTGGAAAAAAAAATTTATAGCTTACATTGTATGTACTGTATGCAAAATAACCTGAATTAATAATAACACATGGGAATTTGATGACTCATATAATTTTATT